TATTTTGAGTTGCTGGCTTTAGCCATGCTATTAAAAAGGCTGAATCCCATTACCTAATGTATTAAGATTATGTCCAAATCATTTTGTTCTAAAATGTTTTATAATGGAAGTGGCTTAATATACCCCAAACACTTCGAAGTAATTGTCTCTTATCCTGTTATCATTTAGGTCTCTCAGTATTACAGACCCCAAAGGCAGCAACTCAAGAAAGCAACTAGCAGGAGCAGGGTCCTGGTGAATTCTCTCTGTGCATACTGGCTAAAGTCATGACCTGACCTAATGTCAAGGTAGGTAGGAGGTAAAGAGAACTGGCCTGAGTTTGAGGCCCAAATCCTTTCAACAAGCCTTGTGATATAACAAGAAAGAAGGAGAAAGCCAGAATCCCATCCCCAAAAAATGTAATAAGAGAAAGTGCTTTATTTAAATTCTTTGGCCCCATCTTTTCTCCCACTAGAATCAGTGCTTCCTCTTTCACTTTTTCTTTTCAATAAAAAATTGCCCCAGTTTCTCATTTCCCTTGTTAGGCATGCCTGTGGGATTAGGTTTGTGTCTGAACCAGCTAGTTGCTTCTTGTTCCTCAGCAAGCCCTGCCATATGATCAAGGGCAGTCTGTTGTGTTGTCATGGTGACCAACATTTACATAAGCAAGAACTGGGGGGAAAACATTTGTTGTTTGGAATAACTTGCGGTAAATTTCATCTTAATGGAAAGATAAAACACCAACTTGATGGGCTAGCAACTAGAATTTGGAAAAACAGGATGAACTTTTTCTATTTCTTTTGATGAGATTGATTCATAGGTACCATTTTTGGCCATCAAAAAAACCTGAGATTTAGACACATTTCTGAGACTGTCAAAAAATAAAGAACAATACCTAGGAAGAAAAGAATGAATGTCATGATTTTTTAAATTCTGTCCTTGATCACATTTCCAGTAGCAAGTAAGAATGTGAGGTAACTATGTATGTCTGGTCTTCTAAAGCAAAGTGTATTAATCCAGAATCTTGACCCCTAAGAGATGCACAGATGGACCTCATAAAGGGTGTGGCAGATTGCTCACTCAAATCCATGTTCTCTTCTGTCTTGGCACTCTGCTTAACTGCATTTCCCAGTCTCCCTTGCCACTGCGTAGAACCACGTGACTGATCTAGCCATGGGCTGTGTGCAGAAGTGCCTGCACCACTTTCAGGCCTGGCCTGTGGAGGTCCCGCAGGTGTCCCACCATGCTCCTCCCTTCTGTCAGAGGAAGTACATTTCTTCCTTCTGGAGTGGAAGCAGCCCTCACCGGGACAGCTGGGGCCAACGAGCTCTTTCTATAGCTCACATTCCTGTCATCTTTGCCAACTGCCCCCAGTGTAAGTCCTTCCAGTCACATCTCATCTTGTTTCTGGCATCCTCAAGCTATTCTAGATTTTTTCTTCCCTGACCATACATACTCCCCATTTTTTGGACTTTACTCCATCTTTGAACCTCTTGCCATCCTGCTATGCCCACACCCCTCCCCCCTTTTACTGTCATCAAACAACCTTCCTCATTTATTAAAGATTGTGGTATCTGGGCCAGGCGTGGTGGCTCACGCCTGTAATCCTAGCACTCTGGGAGGCCGAGGCAGGTGGATTGCTCAAGGTCAGGAGTTCGAAACCAGCCTGAGCAACAGCGGGACCCCGTCTCTACTATAAATAGAAAGAAATTAATTGGCCAACTAATATATATAGAAAAAATTAGCTGGGCATGGTGGCACATGCCTGTAGTCCCAGCTACTTGGGAGGCTGAGGCAGGAGGATTGCTTGAGCCCAGGCGTTTGAGGTTGCTGTGAGCTAGGCTGACACCACGGCACTCTAGCCTGGGCAACAAAGCGAGACTTTGTCTCAAAAAATAAAAGAATGTGGTTTCTCCCTTACAATCTTTCTTTACCCCAAAGCCTGTTGTCATCTGTGATCCATCCATCACCTTGGCCTCTCTATTTCCTGGGCCTAAAAATCCTTAAATCCAGCCAGGTGCTGTGGCTCTCACCTATAATCCTAGCACTTTGGGAGGCCAAGGCCGGAAGATTGCTTGAGGCCAGGAGTTCAAAACCAGCCAGAGCAAGAGCAAGACCCCATCTCTACAAAAAATAGAAAACTTAGCCAGGTATGGTGGTTCTTGCCTGTAGTCCCTGCTACTCAGGAAGCTGAAGCAGGAGAATGGATTGAGCCCAAGAGTTGGAGGTTGCAGTGACCTAGACTGCACCACGGCACTCTAGCCTGGACAACAGAGCAAGAGTCTGTCTCAAAAAAAAAAAAAAAAAAATCTTCAATCCATTGTTTAGTACTGTTATATCCCTGGACTGAAGGTCATACCTTCAGACCACAATCTTCTAGCCTTCCTTCCAGTTCTCCCACTACTTTCTCAGTGCCTTCATTCAATCTCGGGAGCCTCTAGTCTCTACACTCCTTACTGTCAGCCACTGCCTCTCCTTCCTTTTTCCGAGTCAGATAGTGAGCAGGTATATAAAATGTTGTCAGGTCTTACACCTCCATTTGGAAGTCCTGAAGGCACCTCAGACTCAACATATTCCCAGCAGAATTCATCATCCCTTTCCCCATCTGCTCCTCATCCAGTTTCCCAATCTTGGTGTTTATCACCATTTGGGCACACCACAGCCAGGGTACCATCCTTTATTACTTCCTCTCACTCACCATCCCATAGCTGGTCATTTTCCAAGTCCCAACTCTGGACCACCTAAAATTAGTTCACTTCTCTCCGTCCCCACAGCTCTCACCTTCGTTCCAAAGGCTGATGTCTCTCATCTGATCAACCTCAACAGCCACCTAACTACTTTCTTGCCTGTAGGTTTGGCCCCTCCAGTCCATCCTCCACATTGCAGCCCCCATTAGCTTTCTATAGTTCATAGCGTATTAGATTATATTCTCCTTCAGCAGACACTGAAACTCCCTTTAGAGCGGATAGACAGCTCTTCATGTTTTCGCTCCTGCTTACCTCTGCAGCCTCATCTTTCCTCACTCTCCCTTCTGTACTCTGGGCTCCCGCCATGCCGAATTTCTTGCCCTCTGTCTCCCTGACCCACCTGCTCTCCCCTGTAGGCTTTTGTACACTCTGCATCTCTGATTTGAAAATCACCTGATTTTCAAAGATCAGTCTTTTTTTTTGGAGACAGAGTCTCACTCTGTTGCCCGGGCTAGAGTGCTGTGGCATCAACCTAGCTCACAGCAACCTTAAACTCTTAGGCTCAAGCAATCCTCCTGCCTCAGCCTCCCGAGTAGCTGGGACTACAGGCATGCGCCACCATGCCCGGCTAATTTTTTATATATATATCATTGGCCAATTAATTTCTTTCTATTTATAGTAGAGACGGGGTCTCGCTCTTGCTCAGGCTGGTTTTGAACTCCTGACCTTGAGCAATCCGCCTGCCTCGGCCTCCCAGAGAGCTAGGATTACAGGTGTGAGCCACCGCGCCCGGCCTCTTTCTATTTTTTAGTAGAGACGGGGTCTCGCTCTTGCTCAGGCTGGTTTCAAACTCCTGACCTCGAGGGATCCTTCTGCCTCGGCCTCCCAGAGTGCTAGGATTACAGGTGTGAGCCACCATGCATGGCCTCAAGGATCAGTCTTATCTGAGGCCCTAATCTGGGTTAGGTTCTTGTCCTACGTCCTTTCTTGCTAATACATGCTTACTGTTTATAACATCACACTCAACTGAAATCGCCCTTGGATGGATCTGTCACAAGACCAAGACCGTTTATTATTCTAACACCCGGCCCTGCTCAACACATGTCAGATATCCTGGGTAAGTGTTTTGAATGGAAGAATGAAAAACATATGGGTGTGGTGATATGTGTCTATACTCTCAGCTACTCAGGAGGCTGAGGCAGGAGGATCGTTTGAGGCCAGGAATTTGAGGTTATAGTGAACTACGATTATACCACTGCACTCCAGCCTGGGGGGCAAAGCAAGACTCTGTCTTTAAAAAGAAAAAAAAAAAAAATGAAAAACAAGGATAGGTGGACTAAGGTCATCATCAAAAATCAAGTGGGGACCGGACACAGTAGCTCATGTTTGTAATCCTAGCACTCTGGGAGGCTGAGTTGGGAGGATTGCTTGAGGCCAGGAGTTTGAGACCAGCCTTAGCAAGAGCAAGACCCTGTCTCTACAAAAAATAGAAAAATTAACTGAGTGTGGTGACACACGTTACTCAGAAGGCTGAGGCAAGAGGATCACTTGAGCCCAGGAGTCTGAGGTTGCAGTGAGCTATGATCACACCACTGCACTCTAGCCTAGGAGACACTGCACTCTAGCAAGACACTGTACCCCCAAAATAAAAGTCAAGTGGGAGTAGTGGGTAGTGATAATCCTAGGGTCTTAAGAAAGTTACTGTATCAGTTATTTTTTTTTTAATTTTTTATTTTTTGAGACAGAGTCTCGCTTTGTTGTCCAGGCTAGAGTGAGTGCCGTGGCATCAGCCTAGCTCACAGCAACCTCAAACGCCTGGGCTCAAGCAATCCTGCTGCCTCAGCCTCCCAAGTAGCTGAGACTACAGACATGCACCACCATGCTTGGCTAATTTTTTTTCTATATATATTAGTTGGCCAATTAATTCCTTTCTTTTTATAGTAAAGATGGAGTCTGGCTGTTGCTCAGGCTGGTTTTGAACTCCTGACCTTGAGTAATCTGCCCGCCTCAGCCTACCAGAGTTCTAGGATTACAGGCATGAGCCACTGCACCCGGACTGTATCAGTTATTATTATTATTATTTTTTGAGACAGAGTCTCGCTTTGTTGCCCAGGCTAGAGTGAGTGCCATGGCATCAGCCTAGCTCACAGCAACCACAAACTCCTGGGCTCAAGCAATCCTCCTGCCTCAGCCTCCCGAGTAGCTGGGACTACAGGCATGCGCCACCATGCCCGGCTAATTTTTTTTCTATATATATTAGTCGGCCAATGAATTTCTTTCTGTTTATAATAGAGACGGGGTCTCGCTGTTGCTCAGGCTGGTTTCTAACTCCTGACCTCGAGCAATCTGCCCGCCTCGGCCTCCCAGAGTGCTAGGATTACAGGCATGAGCCACCACGCCCGGGCGTGTATCAGTTATAGTTTGCTGCAAAACAAATCATGCCAATCCTTAGTGGCTTAAAACAAAAATTATTTATTTATCTTATAATTCCACAGGGCAGCAATTTGGGTTAGGCTCAGCTGGGCAGTTCTGGTCTTGGCTAGTCTCACTCATACACATGAGGCCAGCTGCTGGTTGGCTGTTATCTGGCTGGTCTTAAATGGCCCTCAGCTGACACAGTTACCTCTGTTTCATGTGGTCTCCCATCCTCCAGCAGGGTAGCTGATTCTCAAAGCTGGTTGGCTGGGTTCCAAGAGAGCAGGCAGCATCACACAAGGTCTCTTAAGGCCTAGCCTTGGAACTGACACAGCGTCAGTTCCACTGCATTCTATTGATCAAAGCAAGTCACAAGGCCAGTCAGATTCAAGGAGTGAGGAAACAGACTCCTGTTGGAGAGAGGGGCTGTAAAGTCATATTGCAAAGGGGTGAGACATAGGAAAAGATTGTGGCCATTTTAGTGATCTACACATATACTCCATATATATATGTATATATATACATATATACATATATATATACACTTTTAGTTGTCCAACAAATTTCTTTCTTTCTTTTTTTTTTTTTTTTTTTTTTGAGACAGAGTCTCGCTTTGTGCCCAGGCTAGAGTGAGTGCCGTGCATTAGCCTAGCTCACAGCAACTCAAATCCTGGGCTCAAGCAATCCTCCTGCCTCAGCCTCCCGAGTAGCTGGGACTACAGGCATGTGCCACCATACCCGGCTAATTTTTTCTATATATATTAGTTGGCCAATTAATTTCTTTCTATTTATAGTAGAGACAGGGTCTCGCTCTTGCTCAGGCTGGTTTTGAACTCCTGACCTTGAGCAATCCGCCACCTCGGCCTCCCAGAGTGCTGGGATTACAGGCGTGAGCCACCACGCCCGGCCTCTTTCTATTTTTTAGTAGAGACGGGGTCTTGCTCTTGCTCGGGCTGGTCTCAAAACTCCTGAGCTCAAACGATCCCCCTGCCTTGGCCTCCCAGAGTGCTAGGATTACAGGCGTGAGCCACCGCGCCTGGCCCATCATTTTATTTTGAACTTGAAAATTTTGCATGTGGAAGCATGATTTTTAGTAGATGTTTGGCACTGGCCATGGGGACTATTGGAACAGGAAGGCACATAGGAAAAGGTCACTGTGAATGAAAAGACTGACAATAGGCTTCATAAGGGCTTTTATCTGTAACATCACACATGATTGGCACGTGGAGAACATCTCTTGCCAGAAGGTAAGAATAATAACACACCTCTATTTACTACTGTAAGGGAGATTGTAAAGGAGACCAAAATGAGCATTTCTGCTGGCAGCGCTACTGCTTGTGGATGCAGGTGGTACTTACCAAGGGCACACAGGGCGGGGAGGATGGAGCTGAAATCCAGCCTGCACTCTGCTCTCCAGAGGTGGGCCTGGTCCCTGGCTTTGTCTTCCTAGGGGGTCATCTTTAAAAAATATGTATATATATATTATTATTCAGGATGCACTAGTGCAAGAGGGTCATCATTTTTCATTCAAACAAGGGCAACATTTTGCTTGACAAACAGGAAACCCCAGAGCTACATTTGTTTGGAAGGGGTACCTTTTTTCCTGAGTCTCACAAAAGCTCCCTATGGGCTAGCAGGGCCCTGACACTCAATCTAAAAAGTAGCACAGAACTGATTACTAAGCCATTTGAGAGGGCACGGAATGCACAAAGCAAGAAAATAAAGCAAGCACAGAATTAGAGACACGGTTCTTTTTTTATATATATATATACTGAGAGCTGAAGAAGTGTGAGAGATGAGAGAGATGAATAAAGGTTGGAGTATCAAGACACAGTTCTTAGAAATGGATCAAAGTAAACAAACGAAGCATTGAAATGGGTGCAAGTCACAAAACCAAAGACCGAATTCAGAAGCCAATGGAGAGTTAACAGACACCAGAACAGTGAATCATGCAAAATATGATTTGTTTCTATAAAAGGCAAATCTATGGAGATAGAAAATAGATTAGTGGTTGCCTAGGGCTGAGAATAGGAATGGGGATTGATTGTAAATGGTCACAAAGTTTCATTTTATTTATTTATTTGAGACAGTGTCTTGCTCTGTTGCCTGGGCTAGAGTGCTGTGGTGTCAGCCTGGCTCACAGCAACCTCAAACTCCTGGGCTCAAGCGATTGATCCTCTTGCCTCAGCCTCCCGAGTAGCTGGGACTACAGATATGCACCACCAAGCCGGGCTAATTTTTTCTATATATTTTTAGCTGGATTTTAAGTTGTGTAAAGTATATCTCAATGAACCTATTTTTAGAACACTGTCACTTGTCAGTCTTAGCATCTCTGAAAGTGAACAAAACATTGCATGCTTCTAATGTGAGGCCACAGGAAACTTGCAGCAAGCACCACCTCTAAGGCGTTCGGGCCCCCCAACATTGAACTTGACTCCAATCCAACTGTCAGTTTACAGCAAATATGAGGAATAAGGAACAAGTGAAATAGCAACACAAACAAGCAAAGAAACAAATCCAGAATGTGAGATATTTTACAAGGTGAATAGCCCAGAGTCTTCTCAAATATATGGCATGAAAATTAAAAAGGACAACAAAGTTCTGTTATGCTTAAAAAAGACTTGAGATCTCTCAACTGATAAACTCATTTGTATCTTCTATGGAAAAAGACACTTGAGAGAGTCATGGGAAATTGAACGTGGACTGTATATTAGATGATATTAAAAAATAAATGCTAATCCTGTTGGATGTGATGGTTATATTGTGTTATATTAACAAAATCCGTTAGTGATACTGTGGTAGATGATAACAGTCTCCCAAAGATGTCCTAATCCCTGGAATTTGTGAATATGTTGCCTAATGTGGCAGGAGAGATTTTGCAGTTGTGGTTAAGTTTAAATAGCCTTGACATGGGGAGATTATCCTGGTGGGCCCAATATAATCACAAGTGTCTTTTTTTCCTTTTTTAAGAGATGGGGTCTCACTATCTTGCCCCAGTTAAAGTGCACTAGGTATTTACAGGCCCTATCTCACTACTTACTGATCAGTACTGGAGTTTTGACTTGCTCCATTTCCATGCTGGGCTGTTTCAGCCTTCCTTAGGCAAGCTGATGGTCCCCCTGCTCCGACGCATAGTGCACTACAGCCCAGAACTCCTGGACTCCCGTGATTGTCCCACCTCAGTAGCTGGGACTACAGGCACGTACCACTGCACCCAGCACAAGCATCTTTATATGAGGGACACAGGAGGTGTCAGAGTCTTGTAAAGGAGATGAAACAATGGAGCCAGAGGTTGCAGTAAGGGACTTCGAAGATGGAGGAAGGGGCCACAAGCCAAGGAATACAGGCTGACTCTAGAACTTGGAAAAAAAGCAAGGATATGGATTTCTTCTAGGGCTCCAAAAATAACTGTCCTTCTGACGCCTTAATTTTAGCACTCCTTATCCCCTAAAACTGTAAGATAAATTTGAGTTTTTTGTGTTTTTTTGAGACAGAGTCTCACTCTATTGCCTGGGCTAGAGTGAGTGCCGTGGCATCAGCCTAGCACAGCAACCTCATACTCCTGGGCTCAAGCAATCCTTCTGCCTCAGCCTCCCAAGTAGCTGGGACTACAGGCATGTACCACCATGCCCGGCTAATTTTTTCTATATATATTTTTAGTTGGCCAATTAATTTCTTTCTATTTTTAGTAGGATGGAGTCTTGCTCTTGCTCAGTCTGGTTTCAAATTCCTGACCTTTAGCAATCTGCCCGCCTCGGCCTCCCAGAGTGCTAGGATTACAGGTGTGGGCCACCACGCCTGGCCAAATTTGGGTTGTTTTAAGCCACAACATTTATGGTAATTTGGTACAGCAGCAATAGGAAAATACTACAAATATCTTCATGGATCTTTTGGTTCAAATGAAATCTTTTCAGCACAGATTCCCAGGAGTAGGATTACTGGGTCATTTTTTACTGTGGTCAACACAAAGTAACCTGGAGAGCATAAATCATCATTCAACATCTTTTTTTTTTTACAAGATAGGGTCTCAATCTATTGCCTGGGATGAGTGTGGTGGCATCATTATGGCTCACTGCAACCTCAAACTCCTGGGCTGAAAGCAATCCTCCTGCTTCAGCCTCCAGAGTAGCTGGGACTAAAGGCACACATGGCTAATTTTTGTATTTTTTGTAGAAATAGGATCTTGCTATGTTGCCCAGGCTGATCTCTAACTCCTGAGCTCAAGTGATCCTCCCGCCTCGATCTCCCAAAGTGCTAGGATTACAGGCATGAGCCACTGCACTTGGCCCATCATTAAACTTTTTAAAAGATAATTTAGGGCCCGTTGCGGTGGTTCATGCCTGTAATCCTAATACTCTGGGAGGCCGAAGCAGCAGATTGCTCAAGGTCGGGAGTTCAAAACCAGCCTGAGCAAGAGCAAGACCCCGTCTCTACTAAAAAAAAAAAGAAAGAAAGAAATTAATTGGCCAAGTAATATATAGAGAAAGAAAAATTAGCCGGGCATGGCGGCACATGCCTGTAGTCTCAGCTACTCGGGAGGCTGAGGCAGGAGTATTGCTTGAGCCCAGGAGGTTGAGCTTGCTGTGAGCTAGGCTGACGCCAGGACACTCTAGCCCAGGCAACAGAGTGAGACTCTGTCTCAAAAAAAAAAAAAAAAAAAAAGATAATTTAGTAGGTTTAAAAGTACATATGCATTCTGTAGACCTGGTGGCTTAAAACAAAACAAAACAAACAAAAAGTACCTGTATATCCTACACAATGTGAATGTACTTAACACTTTTAAACTGTACACTTAAAAATGGTTATGAGGCTGGGCGCGGTAGCTCACGCCTGTAATCCTAACTCTAGGAGGCTGAGGCGGGCGGATCGCTCGAGGTTAGGAGTTCGAGGCCAGACTAAGCAAGAGTGAGACCCCGTCTCTACTATAAATAGAAAGAAATTAATTGGCCAACTAATATATATAGAAAAAATTAGCTGGACATGGTGGCGCATGCCTGTAGTCTCAGCTACTCAGGAGGCAGTAGAATTGTTTGAGCCCAGGAGTTTGAGGTTGCTGTGAGCTAGGCTGACGCCACGGCACTTACTCTAGCCTGGGCAACCAAAAAAAAAAAACTTTTTTTTCAAAAAAAAAATGGTTATGACAGTAAACTTTTTTTCCAAGGTAAGCAGAAAACACGGTTTATTGAGGAGAGAAAGATAGGATTACAGAGCAAGAGCAAGATATAGGTTTACATTGTAAGAGCAAGATACCTTCACCACATAACAGTGAATGGTACTCTTGTCCTAACAAAAAGCATGATAGTAAACTTTATATTTTACCACACTTGAAAATAAAAAAAATTTAATTTAAAAAATGAAGTAATGTTTCAAAAAGTATATCTCAGTGACCTTATTCTTTTTTAAAATTTGTTTTATTTCAGAATATTACAGGGGTACAAATGTTTTGGTTGCATGTATTGCTTTTTTACAATTTGAGTTTATGTTATAAGTGTGCCTATCACCCACATAGTGTGTATTGTACCCATTAGGTGTGAATGGGTACCCAACCCCTCCTACCCCCTCACTTGCTTGATTTCAGTTGAGTTTTACTTCCATATGTGCATATAAGTGTTGATCCATTAGTTTCAGTTTAATAGTGAGTACATGTGGTGTTTTCTTTTTTTTTTTTTCCCATTCTTGCGATACTTCACTTAGAAGAATGGTCTCCAGTTCCATCTATGTTGTTAAAAAATGTATTAGCTCCCCATTATTTTATGGCTGAGGTCGGGAGTTCAAAACCAGCCTGAGCAAGAGCGAGACCCCGTCTCTACTAAAAAAAAAAAAAAATAGAAACAAATTAATTGGCCATAAAAATATAGAAAAAATTAGCTGGGCATGGTGGCGCATGCCTGTAGTCCAGCTACTCGGGAGGCTGAGGCAGAAGGATTGCTTGAGCCCAGGAGTTTGAGGTCGTTGTGAGCTACCTTATGTGTACTCCATGGTAAACTTATACCAGATTTTATTAATCTACTCATGTATTGGTGGTTACTTGGGTTGATTTCATATCTTTGTGATTATGAATTGTGCTACAGTAAACATTCTATTGCAAGTGTCTTTTTAATAAAATGACTTTTTTTCCTTTTGGTCAATGCCCAATAGATGGATTACTGGATGAAATAGTAGGTCTACTTTTAGTTCTTTGAGGTATCTCTGTACTGCTTCCCATAGAGGTTGTACTAGTTTGCTGTCCCACCAACAATGTAAAAGTATCCACTCCAACATCTGTTTGGGGACTTCTTTTTTTTTTTTTTGAGACAGAGTCTCGCTTTGTCGCCCAGGCTAGAGTGAGTGCCATGGAATCAGCCTAGCTCACAGCAACGTCAATCTCCGGGGCTCAAGCAATCCTGCTGCTCAGCCTCCCAAGTAGCTGGGACTACAGGCACACGCCACCATGCCGGCTAATTGTTTCTATGTGATTA